CCCAAACCCCCCTGCAGTTTTCAAAATGTCTGAAATGTCCGAAATTTGACTCCTGAGCGTGATTTTTGAGCCGAATTCTGACTCTCTGCACCTATTTTCATTTTCAAATTACGACTTTTTATATGGAAAAAATGCCAATTACTGAAAACGGCGATGGGTCATATTTTGCCCAAACCCCCCTGCAGTTTTCAAAATGTCTGAAATGTCCGAAATTTGACTCCTGAGCGTGATTTTTGAGCCAAATTCTGACTCTCTGCCCCTATTTTCATTTTCAAATTACGACTTTTTATACCGAAAATATGCCAATTACTGAAAAGGGCGATCGGTCATATTTTGCCCAAACCCCCCTGCAGTTTTCAAAATGTCTGAAATGTCCGAAATTTGACTCCTGAGCGTGATTTTTGAGCCGAATTCTGACTCTCTGCACCTATTTTCATTTTCAAATTACGACTTTTTATACCGAAAATATGCCAATTACTGAAAACGGCGATGGGTCATATTTTGCCCAAACCCCCACACTAATTTCCACACTGCAGTCTACACTAAGGAAACGAACATAGGAATGTGCCTAAATGCCAACAGCGACTGCCCAGACAGGTACAAGAGGAGTGTTGTTAACGCATATGTCGACCGTGCTCTCAGCCACAGCTCAGAATGGAAGCAAGTCGACGAAGAACTCTGTAGGGTAAGGCAGGTCCTAGTCAACAACGGCTTCTCCAATGGTTTCGTCGAAGACATCATAAGAAGGAAAGTGAAACGCCATGCAACCTCTGAAGAGACAACTAACACAACACCTATACCCCCTATTAGACTATTTTACAGGAACTTCTTTTCCACAGCTCATAAAACGGAGGAAAGGGTCCTGAAAGATATTGTTAATAGAAACGTTATCCCTACAGACAAAAATCAGAGGATACAACTGACGATTTACTATAAAACCAGAAAAACGGCCAGCCTACTCATGAGAAACTCTCCAGACACAAAACAGAACGTTTTAAAAGAGAATTACGTCGTCTATGCCTTCAAATGCCCTCTTGGGGACTGTAAGCTCCAAAAAAAACAGTATATAGGCAAGACAACAACATCTCTTTCTAGGCGTTTAACGATGCATAAGCAACAGGGCTCCATTAAGGAACATATAATCTCTTCCCACAACCAAACCATCGCCAGAGAAATCCTAGTAAACAACACAGAAATCATCGATAGATACAGCGATAGCAGGCGGCTTGACGTTTGCGAGGCATTACACATCAAGAAGTCAACACCAGCAATCAACAGCCAATTAATGCACAACTATATTCTACCCACCTCAAGACTCCGCTCCAATATAGAAGCATCAAGAAATATGGACCAATAGGCTTTCTACAATCACTTCTTTTCTATACCCATTGTTTCATGTTCTGGCTTGTGTTGATGAAATTAATACCTTATTAAATACCACCTCACCCCATCCACCTCACTCAAATGTAGATATAAACAAAATCGGAGATGCGTAAGTTCTATTCAGTTGTGTATTTGTTAACTAAAGTCTTTGAAAATGTAATATAAATATAAATAAATTATATATATATATATATATATATATATATATATATATATATATATATATATATATATATATATATATATATATATATATATATATATATATATATATATCGTACCTAGTAGCCAGAACTCACTTTTCAGCCTACAATGCAAGGCCCGATTTGCCTAATAAGCCAAGTTTTCATGAATTAATATATTTTCTAAAAAAATTTTCTTATGAAATGATAAAGCTACCCATTTCATTATTTATGAGTCAATTTTTTTTTATTGGAGTTAAAATTAACGTAGATATATGACCGAACCTAACCAACCCTACCTAACCTAACCTATCTCTATAGGTTAGGTTAGGTAGCCGAAAAAGTTATGTTAGGTTAGGTTAGGTAGGTTAGGTAGTCGGAAAACAATTATTTCATGAAAACTTGGATTATTAGGCAAATCGGGCCTTGCATAGTAGGCTGAGAAGTGCGTTCTGGCTACTAGGTACGACATATATATATAAATATATATATATATGTCGTACCTAATAGCCAGAACGCACTTCTCAGCCTACTATTCAAGGCCCGATTTGCCTAATAAGCCAAGTTTTCATGAATTAATGTTTTTTCGTCTACCTAACCTACCTAACCTAACCTAACCTAGCTTTTTTTGGCTACCTAACCTAACCTTACCTATAAATATAGGTTAGGTTAGGTTAGGTAGGGTTGGTTAGGTTCGGTCATATATCTACGTTAATTTTAACTCCAATAAAAAAAAATTGACCTCATACATAGAGAAAAGGGTTGCTTTATCATTTCATAAGAAAAAAATTATAGTAAATATATTAATTCAGGAAAACTTGGCTTATTAGGCAAATCGGGCCTTGAATAGTAGGCTGAGAAGTGAGTTCTGGCTACTAGGTACGACATATATATATATATATATATGTACATATGTACATATATAAATATATGTATATATATATTATATTAATATATATATATATATATATATATATATATATATATATATATATATATATATATATGTACATATGTACATATATAAATATATGTATATATATATTATATTAATATATATATATATATATATATATATATATATATATATATATATATATATATTATATATATATATATATATATATATATATATATATATATATATATATATATATATATATATATATATATATATATATATATGTCGTACCTAGTAGCCAGAACTCACTTTTCAGCCTACTATGCAAGGCCCGATTTGCCTAATAAGCCAAGTTTTCCTGAATTAATATATTTTCTCTAATTTTTTTCTTATGAAATTATAAAGCTACCCATTTCATTATGTATGAGGTAAATTTTTTTTTATTGGATTTAAAATTAATGTAGATATACGATCGAACCTAACCAACCCTACCTAACCTAACCTAACCTATCTTTATAGGTAATGTTAGGTTAGGTAGCCAAAAAAAGCTAGGTTAGGTTAGGTTAGGTAGGTTAGGTAGACGAAAAAACATTAATTCATGAAAACTTGGCTTATTAGGCAAATCGGGCCTTGCATAGTAGGCTGAGAAGTGAGTTCTGGCTATTAGGTACGACATATATATATATATGAATGCACAGCAACGTACATAAAAAAGGGGCAGTGGAATTACCACTATCTTGAGTGTGGGACCCAAAACCTAGGTCGGGTCAGGAAGGTGTCGTGACTGTGATAACAGGGAGGAACACTATTCCGTCAACTGGAAAATGTTGCCATGGAGTGTCACTCCTTACCAGAGGAGTTTTAAAACATTATGTTTGCGTAAAAGCGCAGCTCCTATGACAAGTTGTCACAGGCGTTGTCAATACCCGTTGATTGACAGTTGAGAGGCGGGATCAAAGAACCAAAGCTCAACGAACGCAAACACAACTAGGCTAGTACAAAGTTCAATGTATGTAAGTGAAGCAAATGTATTACAAAAATAATAATCTGAGACGTAACAGCAATTACCCAAGTCAATATGGGCCGTAGAGAACCGAATACCCACAGGTTATAATACCGACGACAAACTCAACTCGCCTCCTAATGTGATACCACCCTTCCGTCACAACATTGTGGCAGGACGAAGAAAACAGACTTAAACCACTTAGCTGCTTAGGAGGGCACTATAAACATTCCTAGTCAGTCTGAGCTATTCCACCAGGACCTCTGTGGAGTGCAGGAACCTACTCTCGTCGCACTCAACACAACGCTGGTGGGTTACTGTTATGTTGTTTACGTTTTCTTTCGAAGCAGGGAAGCCAGGGATTTGATTCACAGAGATCCAGACCAAAAATGAGAGATTGGATAAATGCATGGAAAGGGACACAGCAAGTGGGTGACAACAATGTGTGGGAGAAACAAGATGTATGTATTTCGTCGACAGAAGCACTCCGATACTGCTTGGGGGTTCTGTCCGAGCCCGGTACCCGTTCGACTCTTCAAGCCCAACACGGGCGTTTTTCAGACTTGTAACAAACGCATCAATTCGTCCTCGTCAACAAGGCCCAAATACTCGCTTATCAAGTCACCATTGTTTAATTTTTTTTATTTTATGTTTACAAATGAAAAACACTTTACACACAACTAACATTTGATGAAATATGTACTTATAAGTCTCGAGCATTGCTTCGTTCACGTCCTTTGCTCAAATTGCACCTTTCTAAATGCTTCACTCGCGCACTGCAAACACCATTATTAGCCAACATACCCTAACCACGTAACCAAGCCTATTAAGCACATCTTGGTATGAAATAATATTAACTTATATTTGAGAAAGTACAAATTTTGAATACGCACTACGTTAGAATTTATGAAATGAGTCTTTGGGTTCAGCCGCCTGGACAAGCCTAGCCTGAGGTTGACAAAACTCAACCCATGGGATTTGTTTTGTTGGGCGATTAGAAGTTTTTTGCTTGGGAGTTTTGATTAGGCACGCGGGGGCTTTCGTTGGGCAATATAATGAAATACAATATGCAATAATAATGGGCAGAATGCAGGGAAACTTTTTTCAGTTTAAATGGCTTCTACACAAATGGCAGAAAATAGTAAGTAAAATTGACTAGTGTGTATGGATTGAGTTTGAAAATCCCGACGTCACCGGGCTCGGCGAAACTTATGAGAGAGAAGATATAACTGAAGGAGCATTCCATCGTCCATGGTAGTACTCACCTTACAATAAAGACAGAAGAATAAATAACAGGTGGTGTTATAATGTGTGCACGGATTTTATCCAGGGTGAATAATTTATCGTAAAATTGAAGTACAGTATTCTAAATTTGACTAAATCTTACTTAGGCATACAAAGTGGTGTGTCTAAGTGAGATTCAGGTGAACACACACCCCTAAAAAGCTTACGTGAATACAAATTCCTAGAAGCTTAGGAAAATACAAACCCTCCAAAAGCTTAGGTGAACACAAACAGGGGAATACATTATTACATTTTATTGAATATAAGATCATTAATTGCTCAATTTTTTAATAATGTATTTACTAATATTTACATTTACTATCACAATATCTACAAATATACATCTTGCCAGAAAACGAAATGCCTCGTGACATTTATGATACATTACACTTTGGTGCAACCAGTAACATCAGACCCTTGCTAGTTGTAGATACATTTATCCTTTCACAACCAACTTACAGACTCGAAACTTTAGAAAATTGTATACAAATTACATCTGACATAATAAAGCAAGGAGAGAGATGTTACTGAAGCCTTCTTCAATAATGGCTTGACCTACAAACGGATTATGAGCTCGAGAAGGCCTTGTAGCTGTCAGATAATATTGAACTTCCCTGGTAAATTATAACGATATTCACTGTAAACACAGTTTGCCCGTCATGAGTTACGAGTTCAGTTTTATGAGAAACTTGGCTTGTTTTTCCTCTTCGTATTGACATACTCAGGTACATATATGCATTTATGCAGCTACCCTACTGGGTTTTTGTTGTATTAAAAAAGTATCTACGGTGTATTTTTTTAACATGCTGACTTGTGTAAATTCGTAGAGAAATGTTATGTTTGTTACATTCATGGCTGTTATTAACCATACACAGAATACATGACTATGGGAAAAATGTGACTTTAGCAAACAACTGCCTACTGTAAATACAATACAATATTGCTTTGTATAGTGTTGTTATATATACAATAGTGTGTTGCATACTGTACACTCAAATACAATACTGTTTTGCATTATGCAATTATACATACATTACTGTATGGCATTCTGTAATTAAAACAAAACCTACTGATAGACTAATTATTAATGCAATACTGTATTGCATGCTGTAATTATAAATGTTATATTACATACTGCATTATATAAACAAAACTGTATTGCGATCTTTCTACAGATTCTCATGTATTTATAAATGCGTGTGTTTACAGGAAAAAACATAAAATACAGTAATATATTAATATACTGCTTCTAATAAAATAATTGACACCGTTAACCTTTTGATCTACGAGTGTATTTCCTCGTGCTTGCATGCATACAGCATACGTCTTGGAGAGTATATACTGTACATACAGTATATCTCTTAAGGTGTATATGTTATACACGCGTTTACGTCTTTGACAATGCATATACTGTGAATATTCTGCACCAACATATGTCTGCACAGTACATATGTTGGACAAGCGGTATGCAAACTGAATACTGTGCATGTCCATACATAATATAATTTCAGCTGTGCATATACAAGTTGTATTTATAAGCTCATCACAGAAAGTTGTGAGAGAGAAAGGTAGTGAAAAGGTCGGCCTCACTGCGTGTTTTAAAACAACGACTCGTGCTATTTAGAAAATCTTAATATACATTACAGTGCCATGCAAATCAGCTCACGAGAAAATCATGCAAATAGTCACCTACAAAACTTAAATGGTATGAATTACAACACAAATGCAAAGTTGGTGAAGCCTGAAGTTTGAACATATACATGTTGATCATTAAAACATTGAAGCCAAACGAAATGCATAAGAACTGGGTTCGCAGCTAATAAAGGTATCCCAACTATCAGGGGACAGGCTTACCAAGGCCCCCTCCCTCCCATAGTCCAAGTCGAAGCAATCAGCGTGGTCACCCACCAACTACTGACCTGACCACAACGGTGTTTAACCAACTGGGAAAGTGACCTTCACATCATCCACTGTGCCACGCTATAGACTTGTATAAACATCAAATGCAACACGAATCTGGATAGGAATTATAAAACTGTGACTATTCAGGTACCTAAGTCTTTAATGATTACCTTGCAAGACAAGGACCTAAGTTCAACTTCAAAGTGAAAAGGTCATTGCATTTTTTTAACTCTTTATTTATGTGAGAAACAAAATTGTAGTTTCCTTCATTAACAAGAGATATCAGTATGAAAATACGAGTTGAAGTATGTATAGATAGCTAAAAAGAATTATTTTTTACAAATAATGTGTCAGATAAAGAATTATTGAGTCAGATAATACCAAAAAATATCCTAAATAATGTTTGAATTCTGATATGTTAAACAACTCTTCTTAAATTTTGCTTCTCACGTGTCAAATCTGGTTACGATGATTAAAACAATATATATTTATTGCATCATACGATTTGTGAATGCAACATCCTTGTGGTACATTGTAATGATAATGTTGATGATGATGAGTGATAATGAAGACAACGAAAATATGTTTGGATGAAAATGACCTAACAAAAAAATAACATGTTTTAATAGTAAAAAAAACAATAAATAAGCCTTCAGTGTAAAACCAGACCCGGAATATCTGGATCATTAAGAAATCAAATATAATAATAATAATCTGCAAGTACCCTTGAAGGACCAAGAAGATGCAGACAGCAGGTTCGAGACATATCACTTAAGGACAGCAGCGTATGTCTTTGACGAGGTGGAATTCCTAGAGATCTAGTGCCTGTCTATTAGCTCCCATTATTGACTAATAGTAATAATAATAGAGATCAGGGGCAGAAAAGTACACAACCATTGACGTTAACCTTTTTTTGGGGAGCCAAATGTTGCACCTTTAACATGTGTATAATGCTAAAACATTTATACTAAAGCATGACAAATGATGAGAATTAAGTACAACAGTTCAGAAAAGGAGATTTGCAACGCGAATAATTAGGCACAATATTCGTTTGAATGGAATGTAGAGAAAATATAAAAGGAATAGAAATACTGTCATGGCAGGACGTACCAGCAGTACTGTCATGGCACTTGCCACCAATACCGGCCTGGCATTAACATTCAACCATTAGTGCCATGGTAATAGTTGCCAAAAGTAGGCCTACTGGCATGGCATTAGCCACCACCAATAAGCCTGCTGCCATGGCAGTACTCGCTACAATACTGAATCAACCAGTTTAAAACCTAGTATCAGTGCCCTCGAAAGCTTTGTTTTCCAATCCAGAATTCTTGTTGACTTCAACTCTTTGCAAGTCGTTGCTTTCGCTTTCTGAAATACGACAAGATTTGCAGCAAGGCAGAGCCAGGCAGCAGGCATCGTAGGGCTGGAGTGAATGTAGGGGCTTCGGTAACCAATTCCACGTCCGCAAAAAGCTTGGTAAGATACTGGGCTTTTTGCTTTGAAGAATGTTGATGATGACTGCAAGAACAAGGATGATTGCCAGAGGCAGACCGACGATATACATGGCTAAACTCCCTCCTGGAAATGAAAGAATCATATGTAAGCAAATTATAAAATATTCTCAAAATATTACAAACAATTTAGAAACTGATAATTTTAGTATGTGTATATATTTTTTTAATTTATAGAGCAAGAAAATAAATTTTGTAGACAAATAATAATAAAGAATGTGTCACTAGCCGGCTAGACATATCAGAAGGCAAACACGATATCACATTCATTGACAACTGGGAAATCTATAGAATTAAATGTATACAAGAGATGGGATGCATTCATATATATGGCAGGGATTCTTTATATCGTTTCTTCATTAGAAGCTAGTGTGGTTTGCGTTTGTCGAGGTCTAAACTGATAAAGTATAAGATTTGGAAATGTATTTGGGTAGAAAAGGGACATATCAGGTGTGCTGTTATAGGGTAAAGGAGGTAACTGGGTATCGTGGTGCTGTTATGGAGTAGAGTTGTACAAATTAAAACTATGCTAAAAATGAGGACAAAAAGAAAATATAGTAAAATGGCAATATTTACAGGGGCTTTAGAAAGAACTCTTAGAGATGACAGTGATAGCAGATAGTATAATAAGAAGTGGATAGAACATAGGAACACAGCATAAGACCTATTGGTCCTCTGTGAAGAAGCTATTAATTCCTAAACAAACTCATTCATATACAGTATATATGTCTTGCCTACGCTTAAAACAATCCAGTAATCCCGTCTCCATTGTGTCCCAGAAATTTGTTCCATTAATCTAAAGCCACATTCCCAAAAAACAAATACGTAACAAGGAATTTTAGGTATAAACAAATATCAAATTTATATAATTGTTTCAGGTTCTCTCTGCAGACACATATTTGACATCCAATTAAAATTACCCATAACATACTCTTGTATACATTTGTATACTTCGAGTCATATTCCCGCTTACTCAATGCATTTCAAGAGAATGAAAATTAAACTTCCTTAATTTCTCTTCATTAGTCTTCATGCCATGTCTTAAATTTGTCATCCTTATCTTCTCACGTCCAAGTGAATTTATGTCCATTCCGGAGTACGGAGACGAAAATTATATAATCTAATTTGGGCCTATCAGGGGGCAAAATAAAGCTATAGAATAACATTAGACGTCTAATAAGACGTCTAATATTAGACGCGTATAGCTAGTAGTGTTACCACTTACTAGGTATACGCGTATGTTACATTCAATTCCGTTTTAAACAAACATTATATATGACTAAGAGAAGTATCTAAGTGAAATTAGCCGAAAAAATATATCCTTACTTACAATACAATGTTTTGTAGTCTCTAATTATGTATATTGTATTACATACTGTAACCAAAACAATACTGCATTGCACACTAAAAAAAAATACTGAGGGGAGCGTTATATATCAAACAAAGAGTCATAAAGAACCAGGCATATAACCAGCTCAGGAGACACCAGTTGATGACACACCCGAACACCTCCATTACTGGCGTACATCACTCACCTAGAGAGAGGAGGAAGACAAACCCAGGCACGAGGAAGAACATCATGATGAGGTAGAGGACGGCGAACCAGCGGTACTTGGCTGTGGTGTTGCCCAGGCGCTTGGCCAGCGGGATGGGGAACCTCATGAAGGGGATCGGGTAGAAGAACAGGATACCGAAGATGTTGAAGAAGAGATGGACGAGCGCGATCTGTGAGGGAGAGAGACTGGGTCAGCAGCAGTACTAACTTGTCACTTAACGAATAGTGCTGAGACAGAGAGAGAGAGAGAGAGAGAGAGAGAGAGAGAGAGAGAGAGAGAGAGAGACAGACAGAGGGGCAGAGACAGAGAAAATGACTAAAACTACTAAAATGTGAACATATTTATTAAAAACAACTAAACTGAAAACTGAATAACAGGGTTTACTTAAAGCAAAATTAATGAAAACAGACCTGGATGGCATAGACGAGGCCGTCTCCCTCTCCAGCCATAGATGCCAGAAGAGCCGTAGTGGTGGTGCCCAGGTTGCTGCCCAAGGTCAGGGGATACGACCTCTCCACCGTGATCACTCCGATCCCTAATTAGATATACCACATTTTAGCATTAAAAAAATTTCAAAATTATGAAACCAAAAACCAATTATTTCCCCTTTTTCAGAAAACTTAAATGTACAAATTATGATATTTACAAATTGTTAAATGGCATTCAAGTTGCGCAAATACGAGATGATATAATTGGGCAATGGATGCACAAGACTAACCAATGAGAGGTGTGAGTGTGGAGGTAAATATAGAGGAAGACTGCACTACGAAGGTCATGAGAGCGCCCACCAGGATAGCGATGTACCCTGTAAGCCAGGGAAGGTAGGGGATGTTGGCGTTGATGGTCTTCTTGATGATCACAGCCATCTTGCCTGTTGGAGGGGCATCATCAACACAGTTAAAATACGCCAATAAATACAATTATGGGGGACACACAAACATCTTGCGAGGATTATTCAAGGTGTTGGAAGTTTCATTTGAGGAGCTGTACCTTTCATCATGGAGTTGAGGATCTTGACTATGGCGATGAGGGCCGAGCACAGGATGAGGAGGGAGCAAATGAGGAGGATGATGCCCACTTGTGCATCCGTAAGCGAGGTCTGATAGAAGAGGAAGTGACACGAGTTGGGAACAGCCACTTTGACACATCCAGCAGCCGTTGTGGAGGCCGCCAGGGCGGTTGTGGAAGCCGCCAGGGCGGTGCTGCTGGCTACTGGCTCGCTGGTGGAGGAAAACACCATACACGATTTCTTGCAGTACTTCTTCACGAGTGAAGTCTCGTTAACCAAAGCCCCTTGATTTGTGCTCCAAGCCGTCAGCACGTCCTTGTCCAACTGTGGAAATATTGACAGCGTTCAGTGCATATTCCATGATATACACGCAGAGAATCAGTCACTATGTGGAAGAAAACAAATAACCCAAGCCACACATGTTATGAAGAGCGAATGACGACGTTTCGGTCCGTCCTGGATCCATCTAAAGTCGTGATTTAATAAGTCTCCAGGACTGATCGAAACTATCACTTTCGTTTAATTTTATTAAGTATGGGTTGGATTATAATGAGTTTGTTATAAACGTCTTAAGAAGGTAGACTTTGAAGAGCTTGCTGATATTACAAGTAAATATAATGGAAGATTTTATTTACATTACAGAATAATATAAATTATGTAAATATAATTTCATTAATAAATCTATTATTCATTTTAATGCTGACACTGATATAATAACTTGGATACTTCATTATTTTAGTCGACTGGATGCCGTATGTTAGAAAATAATCACTAATCACTTTAAAGACAGAATGTATTCGACAGGCCATTTGGCTTCACATACTTTTTACATGAATACAAAGCACGCATATAATATATATTTATATACTCGCACTGTTGTTGTTTTTGTTGTTGTTGAATCAAAACTGACCTGTATGATGAGTTTGGTGAATGGGTCAGTGATGACTTTGAGCATCTTGATCTCTCCACCACCTTTGACCCAGGCGAGATCCGACACCATGGCCGTGGTTATTTTCTCCAACATGCCTAAAATTGGTTGAATAGAATCATTAACACATCGTGATACTCTGATATTCATCATCTCCATCACATCTTACTTTATTAAATTCATCTTCATTTACCATCTTCCCTTGCATGACATGTCAAGCCTCACTTTACCAGATAAGTAATACGTTCTAACATGTTACAATATTCTTAATTGCTCGTATATAGTGTTCTGGTATTTTATTAGCAAAAATTTCAACTGGAACAAGTTTAATAATGCCGACTCTCTCTCTCTCTCTCTCTCTCTCTCTCTCTCTCTCTCTCTCTCTCTCTCTCTCTCTCTCTCTCTCTCTCTCTCTCTCGTTTATTTACCTGTAGCGATTTCGATGATGAGGAGGGTGATGACTGAGAGCCAGTTGAACATGTCATGGACGGTAGCTCCGGCGAAGGCGCGACGAAACTCATTACGGTCACCAACCTGTTTCAAGAAGAGAGACTATGGTGACCACTCGGCACTAACATATTGACCCGTGTAACACGAGTAAAGCTGTGAGACTCAAAAAGAAACGTGTGAGCACTGTTACAGGGTGAGAGCTTCGTCACACTGGATATATTCACGTTACATCCACCATACGAAAAACATTATTTCAACCGCACACGAACACACTACTGACCTGCGTGAGGGAGACGATAGTATTGGTGACGGAGGTGCCTATGTTGGAGCCCATGATCATGGGAATGGCTGTGTGCACATCCAGAACTGTGAAGAGTAACAATAAAAAGGATTAGCAAAATAAACAAATACTGGAATTACAATAGAAACATTACTGGCAAACTACTTGAAAATTTAAACAAAATCCTAAGTGTCGATGTACACGAGCTAGAGCAAGAGATAATGACAGATATGATAGTCAGAAACACACACACACACACACACACACACACACACACACACACACACACACACACACAGACAGACAGAGATGGGGGAGTTGAGAACTTACTCTGAGCGGACACCATGGAGACGATGATGGAGGTTGAGGTTGAGGAGGACTGGACGAGGACCGTCACCAGGATGCCGATCATCAGGCCCACCACAGGGTTCTTCACGTACTGGTTGTTCATCACATCACCTACAATTAACAGAATTATTACATTAACAAAATAATCATTTACGTCGTCGCTTCTCCATCTTCTTAGGTGGGATTTGGTCATCATTTCAACAGCCACGTTATTGTGCCTTATATTCTGCAATTGATAGTTCCAGTGCCGTTAAGTTCATCAGGGAAATTGTGCATATAGCTGCAGAATTATTTTGGCAGCATTCGGATTGACTCTTCACGTTGCCAGTAAGTAGCCAACACGGACATGATCAAATACATTTTTAAGGACAATACTTCCCTATGATAATGAGCAAAGCCTAGAAAATACAGATTGAATAATATCTAACTTTGAAACAGCATTATTATCACACTGTTTTATCACAATCGTTATAGCCCGGCTCCTGTGCCAGGTAAGTCCACTACGGGCTCACCATAGCCCGTGCTACTTGCCCCGCTCCTGTGCCAGGTAAGTCCACTACGGGCTCACCATAGCCCGTGCTACTTGCCCCGCTCCTGTGCCAGGTAAGTCCACTACGGGCTCACCATAGCCCCGTGCTACTTGCCCCGCTCCTGTGCCAGGTAAGTCCACTACGGGCTCACCATAGCCCCGTGCTACTTGCCCCGCTCCTGTGCCAGGTAAGTCCACTACGGGCTCACCATAGCCCGTGCTACTTTGAAACTTTTGTTCTAAGCACCTGAATCTAAAACAAGAACAACTTATCACACGTTTACTCTTCTGCCTCCACTGGCTGTTGTTTTTGTTGTTGTTTAAGATTCAGGTACTGGGAACTAAAAGTTCCAAGTAGCACGGGCTATGGTGAGCCCGTGACGGACTTACCTGGCACAGGAGCGGGGCTGAAACTTGCATGCTCCACTGGCACATCACCTGTAATTTAAGCAACACGGGTGAGGCGTGGAACACAAGCCAGCCAGCAACGACAAGTGTGGATACAATTCTAAAACATAATGACAATTTGACAAAGGTCAAGGTGGAGATTTAGTCACCGATGGCAAAAACGTGGGCCAGCCAACCAGCTTTTATCACGTGTGGTGGAGACAACCTCCCCCCATCCTCTTCCCCATCCCTCCCTCTCCTTTTCTCCCTCTCCTCCTCTGAGTCACCTCTTATCTCTTATTTCTCTGCGTCACTTACACACTTCCCCCACCAGGACCGGCTGTGAAGAGTCAACCAGCAGCTTCTTGCTCCGGGTGTCGTCAAATACCTAAATAAGCATCGATTGATTCATTTGTTCTTCCAGGGGGACCACAAGGAGCTGGGTCGCTGGAACACGTGTGTGTGACGCTCGGGCCGTCAGTCCCGGGTAGGCCTGGGCCTGAGCTGCTGGGTGTGGTTATGAGACTTAATGAGAGGCCGAGCATGACCCTCCCCCCCCGGACTGGGTGGGGTGGGTGGGGGTTGTGGTGAGCGGTTGGGGGTGGATGTGAGCGGGTGGGCGTTGTTTTGAGCGGTTAGGTGTTGTTCTGAACGGATGGGCGTTGTTCTAAGTGACGGGGCGGGGTTACAAACAAGTGGTCGCGGCACCTAGTGAGTGGGTCTGCAAGCTTGAGCAACACCATTATAAGACCCAAGTGCAGGAGGATACAGGTCTGCAAGCTTGAGCAACACCATTATAAGACCCAAGTGCAGGAGGATACAGAAGAGTTGACTCAACCGATTGGCTCATTCATCCCGTATTGTACATCTTTCTTGCCTCCTGAAGCAACTATGACAGTGAACGCACACAGCCTCATCACACTCAATCCGTCCGCTCACCCAATTAAGTCACATTATCATCAAAATCGATCAATCCGTTGCAAATACAGTGCTATAATAAAAGTAAAGGACCATATTATTGTCATTTATCGAGCTATGACCTCGCTGGGTTAGGTGGGTGGATTGGGTTCGTACGTTTCTGGTAAGGAAATATTTGTAATAGCTAAGAGATAGCTTGTAATAGCTACCTAAGATAACAAACACTAACAATAATAAGATTATATTGACAGCATCTCTATTAAACATTCAAGAAGAGGCCAAGATATCACTATGTTATAAGAGATATGTCTAGTACTGTAGTATATTTGTATTATTTTGTATCGTGGTTCAATGCTGAATTTTATTGCAGTGCGCTATTTTGTAGCGTTAGGCATAGAAATGCATTACATTGCAGCGTAATATCCTGTGGAATAATACAGCGGATGAAATGTATTATGCTGTGTCTCAATGGCTTCTTGTGTCGCTGTACCTCCCTTCATTATAGTCATTAGCATAGTAATGTATTCTAATGCTCCGTGAGAATTTTTTTGATAGGCAAGAAATGGGCTGCATGAACTGTTTTAACTGTTTTAGACACTCATTATATCCGACGAGATAAAATAGCATCGCATTAAATATAATACGTGATGATATGAGAGAGCGAGAGAGCGAGAGAGCGAGAAAATGCCATTTTCTGAAACAGGAAGTTACAATTTTCAATACTAAAACTTCCAGTAGCAAAACAGGATAGGTTCTTTGAGTGCGTTAAAGTCGCCTAGAAGACTGAGATAAGTGTGGAAACTGGGATGGTACAGGGAGGCGAGGGAAGGTGAAAAATGGTGCAAAGAACCGAAGTGGTGGTGCAAGGGGATGCAAGATAGTGAGGATGTCATTGAGTTACGGTGAGGTGCAGGAAGTGATTTGTGAACAAGAAATAGTACCCGATTTGCTTGTATCATGAGAGAGACAGAGAGAACTCGTTAAATTAAATTAGGACATAAACTATGAAAACGCCCTTAATGTCACACGCAGAATAAATAAAATAAATCCACTAAAATTAATTTAATAAAAAATACGATTAAATAAGAACGATAAAGCACAAGAAAATAAAATATGAGGTAGGAGGCACCTCAGCCATGGCAAAAATGTGGAGGAGGAAAAGGAACAAGAGCAATAGCTAACAAATCGCCTAACGAACCAAACTAACTTCTTTAATAACAAACACTAACTCAGTTACGCGTGACGGACGCTGCGTGATAGACACCACCCTTATTGTACTGGGGGCGCCATACTGCCAATTGTAAATCCCTTCCCAAAGCTAAAATTCCAATCCTAGTTACCTGTCAACTACCAGTCAGCTACCACCTTCCACCAGTCAACCAACACAGTATAACTATTAAGCGCAAGGCCGCGCAGGTAAAGACTGGCCTCTTCAAGAAATCCCAATAATAAAGATGCCTAGCAAGAGAGGGTGAAGGAGGCTCCGACGAGCTCCATGATCACCTGGACCATTAAGGGTCAGTCTTCCCAGTCGCAGGTTGTGGCTTTGGCCTTGAGCGTTCCCTTCGTGAACTTCTGCATGCTTTCCCGGCATGTTTTTGTATGTGTACCGGGCGAGTGGTCACCCCCCCCCCTCCCCCACACTCCCTGGCCTTCACCATTTGGCTTTTTTGGCTTGGGTCGTCCGGCAAAGATGGCATTGTTACCGTCATCTCCGGGGCAGCGTGATTAACAGTTATGGCTTCGAGAAGTGGCAGTCCAGGTCGGTCAGTCTTATTATGCTGTCTTGTGTACGACGACAAAAACATTGATTGAATAGATAACTATGCAAATTTAATGATTTGGTTTCGATTATACGTGAGTTTCAAGCATTGATATAATGGATTCCTTTGTAAGGGGATGCATGGTTGGTTTTTTTTCCTACGCTGGCAGCCGCAAAAACTGTGGCATAGGAGGTAGTGAAGACTGGATGATGATGGGCAGTGGGGAGTTTCCCCCTCTATATCGGTAGAAGGAGAGGGAAGGGAGTCTGATGGTGGTAGTGGTGGTAATGGTATTGGTGGTGATGGTGGCGGCAGTTGAGGTGGAAGTCGTTGTGACGGCGATGGTAATACTTGTGGTGACGATAGTGGTGGTGCTAGTGGTAACGGGTGAGGTAGTGATGGTGGTGGCGGTGGTGGTACTGACGTAAACCCACCACCGATAGTGGTAGAGGTGGTCTTTATGCCTTTGTGACAGTCTTGCGTAGGTCTTGATCATTAGAGTGACGCGATGGGCGTCACTCGGTCAACTGTGTGCACACGCTCACGAGCGCACACGTGTGCGTGTACAAACATAATAGTCCATGCGGCCGAGTAATTAAGCTTATTGAGAACCTTCTTATCTTAAAGTTATTGAGACGATTTCGCGGCTTAGCGTCCCCGCGGCCCGGTCCTCGACCAGGCCTCCTTTTTGTTACACATCCCCAGGAAGCAGCCCGTAGCAGCTGTCTAATTCCCAAGTACCTATTTACTGCTAGATAACAGGTGCATCAGGTCGAAAGAAAATCTGCTAATTTATTTCCACCTCCAATGGGGATCGAACCCGGAATCTCAGGACTACGAATCCGAAGCTCCGGCAGGACCCAATTACCTTGAGCAGTAATTAAAAACTAATTACTCCTCTCAGCCTCTACCCTAGTAATCGCCTTCCATTCATTCGTTAGTTTACACACACACAAGTAACGTGGTTTACATTTATTCCTTTACTTATATACCTGCACCTGAATACCATAAATATAAAACGTCATTGTTTAAATCACAAATCCAAAAACGAAAAGGATATTAGGCAAAAACTAAATCGTCAGGAATATTGTTGCGAATCCCGTGTACCTGACGAAGGTGGTGATGCGATTTGATTGTTCACTTCTTTACGCACAGGTTCGACAAGTAGATACATCAAGGATCTTAACAACTAACTAAAAACGTTACGTTTCAGGTGGACGAGTCTGGCACTGCTCATAGCAGCCCCTGCACCGTTATTGTTATGTCTCTGTTGACGTAACTATGTGGTGGTAACACACAAACGATGCAGACCCATCCAGGAGGATATAGTTGACCTCTGACCTGCTGACCTTACACCGGTTTCTGATGACCTCTCTCCCTCCTTACTTCCTATTCAACCACCACCAAATTGCAACTCCCCCCTCCCCAACCGTCCAAGTGGTTGGGCACCATTCCTTCCCCCCATCCTATCCCAGATCGTTATCCTGACCCCTTTCCCAGTGCTATATAGCCAT